AAGTGACAGTGAATTCAGTGTAGCTCTATCAGATCCCGTATCATCTCCGTTCCTCTATGTCTTTTAATGTGTATCTCATACCAACCTACCTCAATAGCTAAATAAGGATTAGAAGTGACAGCTAACCCACTAGTCCGAAATAATCTAAATCTGAACAGTGTGATCCTTCTCTAACACACATTAAAGATCCATAAGGTACCTGCAAATCTCTGTAAGAACAATACAGGCCTTTCATGCATTTACTGATCTGGTTAACTTTTGTATTAAATTAAATTCTCCTGGCTACCTTGTGATGGGGACCAGGTTTCATTCAGAAATTACAACTCAAGCTACTTCATTTTTAATGGGGATAAACCTTCAACCTGTGAAGTAAAGAAATTCTATCCTCTTTCTCTAATCCTCCGGTTTACCCTTCCTCCACATCCAATGTCCAGACGAACCATCACCTTCCTTTTAGGGCTATCGGCGTGACAGACCACGTGCGGGTACAGCAGCTCTGCAGGGTGGTTTAGGGCTCCCCACACCGAACAAATTCTAATTCTGAGCTGCTGGCATCTCCTCCCCGCTCCGGACACCCCGGGGCACTAACAGAGGCGGCTCCCTGCACCTCAGTGCCACCCGCGGCTGCTGCAAAACTCTGGTTTAATCCACCCAGTTCAGATGGGCGAGAGATGCATCCGCCTTGCCTCAACTGTGTGAAGAAAAATACAGTATTTTGATGGAAAAAAAAAAATGAATATTTGCTTTTGTCTCATTTTATCAAATTTCACTTTAAAGAAGGAAGGAAGGAAAAATTCCCCTGTGATAATCTTTGGTTTAGTTTGCTACCTCTGCTTCAGCCCACAAAAAAGGAAAACAGTAGGCAAAATTTGCTGCTTGTTTTTAATTAACCTATTTTAATTCATTTCTGCAGAACCCTTGCAGATAAAACGGCTCTGTTTTTTTTTTTTTTTTTCTTCTTTCCTTTTGCATATCTTAATCTTTCACTGAAAATGATCAAAAACCTATGGCAGCAGATGGGGATGGAATATGAAAGTTTTCACAAATGAGGAGAAAAAAATAAAAAGAAAACAAAAATAGATTTCACTAAGTTTTGAAAAAATATTTCTAGGCTTTAAAATTTATAGGCAGATTTGTATCTTTCAGTTCTTAAAGGAAAACTCCACTAATCATTTGGCTATAAGTTACTGTAAGTAAATATTTACTGCATATGCAGTCATTTTCTTCTTTCCATGTCTCCTCCTCTCAGATATACCCACCAATTTTTCAGTGCTTTTAGCTGAATGCATATTTAAGGTGAGGGAGATAAGAGAAATAACTGCTGTAAAGAACTATAACCAACTCTCCTGTCTCCAGTTGTACAAATTTGCCCTTGATTAGTACTTCTAAAAACTGTCCCTCTCACGAGCACTCAGAATGAGGCTTAATCAGTGATCCACTCTTCACCTGGGACCAAGGTCTCCTGCAATTATCCTTCAATTAAGCAACTGAAGTATATACTACATCTTTCTTCGTTCTGTTTGGAATGTAAATTATGAAGGGGTAGGTTCAGAAAGCTAAGAAAGTTATTTAAGAACTATTTTTTTGCAAAAATATTGTTTGGAGTACCTCACTGCACCTTGTGAGACTGGATGTAAAGGTAGGACCAATAAATTCTGTCAGCGCACTTACTGAACTACAGTTTGTCAGCCGCACGCAGCATTAGGAGCAGCAGAAAGACTCAATGTCAAAAATAGAAGAAATTAATTCAGGAGTAGTTTAGATTAGAGCAAGCGAAAAAAAAGGTCAGAAAATGTAACTTAAAAGCCTCAGTGGAACAAAGCCACGTTCCAGAATTAACAAGCCCTGTTCCAGACTCTGCAGATACGAGATCCTCAGCGAGTTCAGACTGTGGCTGGCGCCTTTCACTGCATGAAGACACGGTCTCCTACTTGCAGAGCTGCACACAAGCTGCAGCAGCTGACTTCTGGCAACAACTCAGAAAGGGGGACTGCAGAGTGCTTTTCAGTAGCTTATTTTAATTAAATATAAAATGCGATTATCCCTGTCACTTTTCATCGGACAATCTCTAAAGATTCAGCAGGCATTATCCTCCAGAGCAGGGCAGGAGCGAGGTGGCTTTGTCCACTGCTGAAACGCTGCTGTTCAGAAGCGTGAAGAGTAGCACACGAGAGCTTGAGGACACAGAATACTTACTGCTTTAGAAGTTGACATTGGGTACCTAGACGTTGCTCAAGGTTTAAATGGGGAAAGACTCTGGCTTTAATGATTTTTTTCCTTTAAAACAATTGTTACATACCTTTAGTGACAGCAGAGCAGAAGGTGAGCACTTTTGTTTAGTCTTAGAGGCCCACCTGCAGCAGCAGAGCTCTACCTAGCTTAGAAAAGGGGAGGGATGCCAAGGTGAACAGTGCTGTAAAAAAGACTTAAATCCCTGTTTCTGCTGTCTGCAATATGAGTATATTCCTGAAAGGTCTCATCCAGGTACCGGACTGACTCTACTTAAATTTGACAGAGTCACAAAATAAAGAAAACCCATTGTAAACAGTGAGTGAAGAAGGTGAAGTATGCTTAGCAGTAATGAAAACAAAGCCTGAAGTGATACATCCCAGAGTCAGTAGCACAAGGCAAAGGCTGAGTACAAGATTTTTGAATGTTCTGTGTTTGCTGACAATCTTTTAAGGGTAATATCAAGGTTCCTTAAACCGGAGGGTGGGGGGGGAAGGCGGAGGATATAAGCCGGCACGACGGCGGCAGGCTTTCCTGAGTATCACTGAGCCGCTAACAGACAGGGTGTATCTACCTGTGTCTTACCTGAAGGATGCAAATTCCTGGAAAACACAGGCAGGAATGGGGGCAAAACAACCTTGTAGAGGAGTTTCTCATGTGTTGTTTCAACTCAAATGCCTGCGTGCAGAGAGGAATTGGGACAAGTATTTATGATGGGTGGAGGTTTGATGCTGGCAGTGGACAGGACGACTAGTCATTAATAACACTAAAGGGTGTAGTAATTTGAGAGGTATCTTAAGTATTGCTTACTGTCTAGACAGTAACTGGAGATCAAATTCCTGGTTTTCTCTCCTGTTCTTCTACTACTGTAATTTCAGACGAGATGTTTCAGATTTAACTTCAAATGCATTTTAGTTCTTCATGTGCAATTTGAGCCATCCTGACTCAGTACTGGCACTGTGGGCCCCTCCTGGGGGGAGTATCACAATCTGGCAACTAGATGCATCTTCTAATTCATGAATTGTTGCACTTTTTACCTCAACCTTTTCTAGCACTTCTCACCTCAGCTCTTAAGAGAGTACTGCAAACCCTAGTATCTCTTGAGTCCGTCAAATTCACAGGGAACTTGCCAAGAACCAAAGGTAATAGTTCTCTGAAGTTTTCACTTTAGAATAAACGTACCTCAGAAATTAAATAATGAGAACTTTTACCTCATGAAATAAACCACCACGAACAAAAAAAAAATGGTCTTAGGGAAGAAAAAACAACCATGGGTCTAAAAAGAAAGAATACGTTTCACTAATCTCGACAGTTCAACGCTATTGCTAACATTTCATAAGCTTTACCTTCCCTCCAAATCCAGATATTAGTCCAGTGAGAACGCTACACTTGGACTGAACAAGCTCTCTTCATTTGCTGAATCACACTTGATTATGAACCAGTTTTGTGATTTTACTCTCTTGCAGCATTTGTTTCTAGCTCAACATGAGTCAACCAAGCTGAACTGAACTTGGGTTTTGCTGATGTGTGGTCTGTCAGGCTCAAAGAAATGAGTGAAGAGCATTTTGATTCTTTGTAATCCATGTTGTGCAAAATGTAAAGCCTCTAGGAAATCTTTTTATGGGAACAACTATCAAAATCTACTATAACCATCCCCTCCTTTGGCCATGTTTATTCATAAAAATAAAGGGGAAGATCCATTGGAAAGCAAGTGACTTTGGGCCAAATTCAATTGTCTTTCTAATGCAGAATAAAGGCAATTGAAGTGATTACAGTGGAATCAATGAGAACACCCACACGTGCAGCTGGCAACAGAATTTAGTGCCACACATCTAACAGAACATTTTAAAAGCATTTACAAATGAACTAGGTTTCTTTTGGACGACAGACATTTGCTACACACATCATGCGCCAGCATGAAAAAACCCAAACCAATGGCCTGCATTTGCCAAACCATAGTACTTCTGTTTGTTTCCTTTTCTCCTTCTTGTCTTTGAAATAAGTATGACAGAGCTGAAACCTTGAGAACCTCAGAGATCTAGCTTGTCTTATTTATGAAAGATCACCAGTATTTCAAACATCACCTTCCTGTCCCACCAGATCCAATGTTGAAAAAATACCCCAAGGATCAAAGTGGTTCAATTTTTACTGTTCATCAGCTCGTGCTGCAAATCCAGTTGGGGAAGAGATTTTAATGGTGATTTATAAAACAAAATAATTTAAGAAATGGTCCTGAGCATTCCCTTATTTGCATCATCTAGGCTACCAAACATCTGTCAGGAAGTAGGAACAATTCAGTACCCACATACCACAGGGTCATATTCAAACTGATGATCTGGATAGTGAATTTTAACCGGTCGCCTGCATGTGGTGAGTCTGTGGACTCAAAGGTTCTGTAACAAGTACTTAATGACAGCACCTGTGCTGTTAGTAGACATGTGTACGTAAATCTGCAAATCAAAAGTGATAAAAATCATTGACTCAGATCTCAGCATGTATCATACATCAGTCTCCTTGAGGTATCCCATCCTTTAACAGCATTTGCAGTAATTCCCTGCGATTTCACAGAAGCATCACACAAAGATCATTTCTGCTCTCATTTATACCGACACAGCATCTGTCACAACAGCGAGGTCACACCAGCAACAGGGAAGATGGAGTGACTCTTGCACATTCCATTCCTTCAGACAGTGTTGACAAGAAATCCATTAAATAGAACAGTTCCACAGATTCTGGATGTGCATGTGTGCTTTTTTTAATGTACTTCTTACCTGGACTCCTTCTGAGTGATGGCAAGATAGATTTCCCATGAAGTCTCTTCCGGAATAGCTCCATGTGGTATCAACAAACTGACTCCTGCAAAAGAGCAAAGGCAGAATTTATCTTTGGGAAAGGCACTGGACATATAGAACAACACACAGCTGGCCTCTGATTTACAGGATCTCAAAGGGCCGTCTGCTAGAGCAGAAGGATGCTCCTCTGAAATAGTGGTTCTGACTACAGCATTATCAGATGAAACGAAAAGATATTATTATTCACATTTCAATTATATTATGATTCACATAGAGATTAATATTTAACTGTCTTAGAGCCTGCAATTATATAGACTCGTCTGCCTTAAACTTCCTTGCTCCAACCGAGCTCTTAGACAGTTGACTTCCCATTGTTTTACGTCACTAAATGACACTGGATTCATAGTCCAGATGTGTCTGAGGGCCTCTGCATCACTACAGGCAGACTTCTTTGCCTACTTCACCATTTACACAAAAGGGAATAATTTACAGAAGCAAAAGGTACCATCAGCTCTTCCCTTAAGGCTTCCAGCAAGAGTGTTCATAATCCCAGTCATTTTGATGGTCTTGTTACCCTGACAGGCAGCAACAAAACAGTCTCTTTTGAGTTCCCTACTTAATTGTTTTTTTCCTTTTTTTTAAAAAATAATAAAGATAGACAAAAGCATGCGTGCCTTTGGTAACTTTTAAGTTAGCCTTTGCCAGTTTCTGGAAGGCAGTTAGGGGCCAAGCCACTCTGGGGAGACGTTAGAGTCTTTCACTCTTACTTGCCAAAATGCCTCTTAGTGGCACACATCTTGCCGTCTGCACAGCTCCATGTTTTACAGGACATGATCATGGTTTAAACTTTTCTTGAAGCCTCCTTGCCTCTTTTTAACTTTGAAATCAAATCTGATAATTCTAGGATCCCAAGGAATCTCATAATGGAGAGAGTACCTAACCAAATCCATCTGAACTTGCATGGAAATCACCATACCTTTTTGTTCACATACACAATAACTAGTGAATCCAAGTGATATGATTTTCCTTTTACTCCACTAGTATAAATTAGAAGTTAGCCAGGATGCTTTCCATTGGGTACCAGTGATATTAAACTGTTGTACAGCATGCTTAATACAGGAAAACTGTATTTTACTTTGCATATGTCACACAATGCAGAACCTCAGCTAAGTAGTGACATGATTGCACTATAATTTACAATTGGCTAGAAAATTTGATCTTACATAAATAGGCAGAAGGAAGTACATAAATTGCAAGCAGACCAGATATATATTTAAAGAATCTAATTGATGGGACTGTCATTATATAAAGTAGCTAAATAGATAGTATGAGGGACTTCCTAATTTATGACTTAACTTAGTGCCTCTGCCTTTGTAATATTCATTCCTGAACACAACAATCTCTGAAGAAATAAATACATTCCATGTGCTGTGCATGATTGTACACTAAATATTGTATCCCTGAATTATATACTGTTATCAATCTTCTCTAAATACAGACCACATTTTTTATGGTAACCTTTAAAGTATCCATTTTATGAAAAATGAAGGATAAAACAGTAAATCACTCAGTTCAACTAGATACGAAGAGATAAGCCTGGACACACTAGTCAAATGAAAGCAAAGTTGAATTTGAAGTGAATAAAGATCACCAGAGTTTGAAAGATCCTCTTAGCTAGTGGTGGTGGTATGTGGCTATTTCTGCTACATTTGCCATTTTGAACAAGAAAGCTTCCAACATAAGGAATTTTATTCAGCATGATATGAACGCAGTGATGTAGTGCCACACACTGCAGGACTATGATTTTAACATCCTTTATTTGAATCTAATTTGGCGCCGTATGTTTTCCGCTAATTTAACAAACAATTTCTTAAGTCTCAAATATGTCTCACAAAACTCTGAAGTCGCAAAACAAACTGTACTTCTTAAACAATGCAAATTGAGTATCTCTGCTGCGACGTTTCAGTGCATAGCCCAAGCTTGAAATGCCAGTTGACTTTGAAATGCCCCGCTATGGAAATCTGTCAAGCTATTAAGTTAAAAGAAAGAAAAAAACAGAAAACCAGGAGTAAATGCTAAGGCAAGCTGCACTAGAGTTTTCATGGAGAGTGGAAGCTATTCTCCAGAGACACTTGTTTGTTATATGCTGCAGACTTCAATAACATAATGAAGTCTGACAACGTTAACGCAGTCAGATGTTGCTGCACGTAGATTCTGCTTTGACTACGACCCCATTACATGTGATGCTGATCCACTACTGACCTCCTTCCTGGGGAGCCCTTCTCTTGGATCAGGATCCCAGGAAGCAACAGCTTTGATTAATGTAACTTAGATGCTGAAGGCATCAAGAGAGGCAGTAATTTATAACAGTTCAAATAGGCATAATGCCTCTTTCCTACTCATCCCAAGCTTTCTTCTGATCAGTCATCTCCTGTGTGGGCACCATGCTCTACTTCCCAAAATGTGCATTAAGGGAGCCCCTACTTTTTCTTTTATTGATTTTTTTTTTTTTTTAGTTACAGAACACTACATCAGACAAATGAAGTTTAACCTAAAATTATTTTATATGCTTTTAATGAGAAGGGATCTACCCACCTGTGTTTGGAACTACTAAACGGCCACCCAGGTGTCCAAAAATAGCAGTGCTCTTCAGCTCACTTGTTGTTGAAATAGAAGACAGGTTCTGAATATACGTAGCCTTGTTTCTAGCCTGTATTGTACCAAAAGCCCTATTATTCCCATGAGGAAAAGTTCCCGAGTGTGCCTTCCCATGGTACTCAGCCCTCTCTGTCACCCCCAAGGACACCATGAACGAACTCTGAACTTTGACTTTGATGTCTGACAGCGGGTTGAACAGCGAGGACTCGGTCATGAGCTCCTTGTCCATGGGATCCTGCAGGCAGATCGGCCCGCTGTACGTCCTGCTCACCGTCAGGTCGGGCTGCATGGACGAGTTCAAAAGCAGGGAGTTACCTGGCAGGACGAAGCAGGGCAGGGAGTCAGTTACTGTGTTAAGACGCTAAATCAGAAATCTCTTTCTGACCTCTCCGCCGTTTCCTTTTTGACCTGCTCTTCCTTCCTGATACTCTCAGAGCTCAAAATCACATAAGGCAATGTTAACAAACAGATGAAATGATGCAATAGATCTAACAGCTACTTGATCACTATGTTTGCTGCACTTCAGGCAACTCCAGAGCGCACGAATCCAGGAAGCAGCTTCCTTTTTGTTCTGGATTCAGGTTTGTGTGTGTGCTGTTTTCCCTTCTTTTAATGTTTAAAAAAACCCAAAACCAGAACAACAAAACACTGGGTTAGAACATCTTCCTGCAGACCTCTTCCATGAGCTTACACAAAGCAATAGCTTCGTGCCTGAGGGAAACTGGGTTGAAAACAAAGTGGGACAAGAGCAGTATAGGGAAAAAATACCACAGGTATTCATTTAGAGCATTTTAGCCCAGAAAACACTCGGAAAAAAAGAGAAGGAATGGATAGATTTAAGGCCTGAATCCCTTAGCCAGGTTGGTCTTTCTTTTTGTGTGTGTGTGTGGTTTTTTGTTGGGTTTGATTTTTAGTAAATAAAAGTTTTCCAAAGTAACTAATTTTCTCGAAACCATCTCTACTGCATCTCTGAAAATTTCATCACCTTAAGGGACTGCAGGTTGGGTTGTTGACATTATAAATACATTTCTCCAAAGAGTAAAATTTGGATCACACTACTCTGTTGTCCGTACATCAGTACGGTGCTCTCTTCTCAGCAAACTGAAGAGAACTGGTCTTTTTTTTCAGCTAAATTGTTTAGTTTACAAATGCTCTTATTTTAAAAACCCACAGACAGAACCCAAAGTAACTGAAACTGAACTAACAGCATCCTGGCATGAAAGAAAGTGGCACGCCCAGGTATTTTCAAAGCATCCAGAACTAAAGTTTTTGAAACATTAAGTCAAACAAACAATTCCCCAGACTCAAAACAAGACTTTCATGGCAAACTGAACAAAGGAAAAAGTTACTATTTGAGACAGACATTGAAAATTACATGACTGTAATTAAAGGCTTGGATGAATGAGCAAACATCCTTCAAACATCCTTGCCTACCAAGCCCTTTTTCCAGTTTCTTGCAATTTATGCTTGGTGAGGAATGTCTCCCAGGAAATAAAGTAACTGTAAAAACAACACCACACACACAACAAACCCAAACCAAAGCAGCAACTGAACTCTGCAACATATTTCACTTTTCTGAAGAGAGAAGAGACACTGGGATACTTTCACACCCCACCAACACACCCACCCACAGTAAGGCAGGTCTCTGTGTGAGAATGTCAGCCCAGAATTAAAGAAACATACTGTTTTAATGTAATCACCACTTGTATTCCTCCCCACCTTCCTGTCCACAGAAAATAATATTCCAAAAAACATCCGAGTGCTGCTTTTATTAGAAGTAAATATTTCTTCCCTATTTTATTGTATTTGTTGCTTCCTGAAGTTTTTTGTGTTGTTTTGTTTTAAATCAATCCATGTTTACACTCATTTATTTCCCGCAGACCTCAGAATGTGGATGTTTGCATGCTAACAGCAGCATATAAAAATACTTAGAGTTGGGTTTTTCAAAATAACAGTAAAAAACTAATCTCCTTTATTGGAGGAAAGAAAATTGAAGATCTGTAACTGAATGGGAACTACAGACACGCTTTCTAGGTTTGTTTTGATTTGGTTAATTTGTTTCGGTTTGTTTGGGCTTTTTCTGCCACACGTGTCAGTGATGCTCGTGGAAGTAGCACTAGCACTAGCTAGTAGAAGCTAGGGAGAGTGTTTCTAAGGCGTTTAGAGTGTGGTCAAGATAGATTATGGATTTGTCCAAGCTGCCACGACAGAGCAGTAGCAGAGACCGTAGGAGACAGCTCCAGCCACCAGATCCCGATCCTGACCCCGACCCCAGTGCTGCCCGGCCCTGGCAATAGCTGGAATGCCCTCCCGCAGCCCGTCACTGAATATGTGCTCAGTATCTCTTTGCAGTAGGAGCTCTGGAGAGAAGAAAATGAAATCACAACACTAACCTTGTCTGACTGTTTTAAAATTAAATGTCTGGAAGCCTCCTGTCAGTGCAGATGAATCAATCACATCCACGCCGTACTCACTCTGACTCCGTCTGTAAAGGGTAACGCCAACCACCAGCACAGCTACAGCAATGACTGCTGCTCCCAGGCCGGAGTACAAGGCAATGTCACTGGCAGTCTCAATATCTGAAAGCAGAAGAAGTGGGTGCAAAGTCAGCAACACTCATGAAAATGCTGTGAGTGGCGCTGGCTGGCCGTGAGCAAAGGGGATTGTCTGAGGGCACGGGCACGCGGCCGAGGAGGTAAAGCCCGAGACATAAACATGGAGCAGATCACAGCAGGGTAGCGGAGCACAAAGGAACACTGAAAAGCAGGCGTTTGAAAGCATGAGCAGATTTCATAGAATCACAGATTGGTTTGGGCTGGAAGGGACCTCAAAGCCCCCCCAGTGCCCCCCCCTGCCCCGGGCAGGGCCCCCTTCCCCCAGCCCAGGGGGCTCCCAGCCCCGTCCAACCTGGCCTTGAACCCTTCCAGGGAGGGGGCACCCACAGCTGCTCTGGGCACCCTGGGCCAGCGCCTCACCACCCTCATCTTCCTGATAGCTTATCTAAACCTACACTTTTTCAGTTCCAAACTATTGTCCCTTGTCCTATAGACCTTGATAATAAGCCTTTCTCCATCTTATAAGCCCCATATATATTGAAAGACCACAACAACGTCTCCCTTCTCTTCTCCAGGCTGAAACCCCCCAACTCTCTCAGCCCGGCCCCCCAGGGGAGCTGCTCCAGCCCCCCCAGCATCTCCGTGGCCTCCTCTGGCCCCGCTCGAGCAGCTCCGGGTCCTTCTGCTGTTGGGGGCCCCCGAGCTGGCCCCAGCACTGCAGGGGGGTCTCCCCAGAGCGGAGCAGAGGGGGAGAACCCCCGCCCAGCCTGGGTTTGTGCTGGGGATTGCCCTGACCCACGGGCAGGACCTTGCGCTTGGCCTCGTTGAAGTTCATGAGGTTTGCCTGGGTTTCCTGACCCATCAGTGCATGCAGATGACGTTCTATTGTCTTAGGGATTGCACCACTGCCTTCACAGGTTTTTTGAAACGGGAGAGTTGGACTCCTATCAGCCAGAAGCAGAGCGCTTCCCACTGCGCAGCCTTCTCCCTCATCAGCACGCACTGCCAGCTTGGGCTCCTTGCCGAGGTCCCAGCCCAGCAGAGATCATTAGGGTTTGGCAATACAACCCTTAAAGGGGGGACGTGGAACAACCGCAGCGAGGGAGGGCTGCTTTACGTATCAGCGTGACTCATCCATTGCTGACTTCCAGCGATAGCCAAGTTTTAGGTTTGAATTCTGGAGCTAATCGAGCTCATGAATCCACTGAAAAATCTTGGTGAAGGCTTCCCCTTCTCTCCTCTTTATTTTCTGAGTGAGCTTTCATGTAAGAAGGAACCTCTTCTACCAAATCCTCTCACAGCTCAGAGAGGGGCTGAGGAGATCCCACACATCTTCTCAGACTCCTGCAAGCATCTTTAGTCTTTAAAAACAGGTTGGAAGCCAAACCCTCCTTGTGATCACACCCATGCACTAAGCTTACAACCAAGTTTTCTAAGACTACAAACTTTTACAGCAGAGAAAAAGAATTCATTGCTTTGAAAGAATGAATCCAAATGAAACCTGCAATATTTTGTAATTGAATTATCCAGTCCTGCTATTCTACATCTTCTGGGATTTGGGACCACGTACCATGAAATTAAATTACTTGGCAAGTACACTTAGTGGGTCCTTAGATAGTTCCCTTAATTCTAAACTCCAGTTTAGAGGAGGAGATAATCATCTATTCACCCTTTACATCAGCTGTTATCTGCTATGTGGTGCTTCTGCTGTTGAGTGAGAAGCCTTTGGTACAGAGAGTGCACCTATTTAGAACAAATGACAGTGACCAAAAAGAACTATGCAATATCAGTAAATAAACTGCAATGTACAGAAATAGGGTAGGAAGTTAAATTCAGCATTTAATAAATAGCCAATTACTGAAATGACTGAATTAGTATTTGGGAGGAGGCTCCTGTTGTGCATGTGTTTTTCTGCAGAAAATCAGGTAACTTTCTTTTAGCTGAATTTTTAAAATGAACGTGAAACTTCTGACCATTGAGATAAAAGAAATGAGGATCAGCATCAGAAAAGCCAATTTGCCTGGCTCACCAGTTTCTTACGTAAGTGAAATGTCTGACAACTCACAATACGAGCAGCTGAACTTCCTGGGAAGGCACGCCAGCTGCCAAACGCACCAGCCGAGAACCGACTGTTCTCTAACATAAGTGAAATGCTGTACGAGTACGTAAACACTGCTTTAAGTGGGCTGGAGCACATGGGAGGTTTGCTGCGAATAAGGCAGTGGAACTGGTTTTTCAGTTGGGCAGTTGAATCAAAAGTAAAATAAACTGGCTCACACGTCCTTAATAGAAAACACCCTTTCCACCCCCATTCTCAGACCGTTCCCAGTCAACCCCAAACACAACATTCCAACATCCCAGTCAACCCGGAATAGATGTTTGGAAATTAGTTTCACTAGGACTGCTACATAGCCCAGAAAATCCTTCTGCAAAAATTCTTCTGAATTTTCAAGTAACCTTATGGTGAAAAAGGTTTCTAACGTGTTTAGAACTTGCTGAGAAGGAAAAAAAGTTAAAAAATGAAAATCACAAAATTTGCATGCAGATATCAACTTTCAGAAGAAATTTCTCTTCTGTGTCATGTCACAAGTAATCACAACTCAATAAACTTGTAACTCTTATCCAGCTTCTTAAAACATTACAATTGCACACAGTTCTACTAAGCAAATTGCTAAAGATTTTTTTCTGACGCTTTTTTTTCCCCTTTTTTTCCATGAGATGCCCCCTTGAAAAATGTATAGAGAATTTTAAACATTTTCAGTTCAAAGTTAGGAATTGCAGAAAGTAAGCTGCTGGGTGGTAGCTGCTGGTCTTAGACTAATGCCAGATGGAAAAAGTAAATGCAGAAAGATGGGGTCACAGAGGAAGACTGGGGAAATCCCTCAGATCAACCCGAACCCCAACCCAACGCCTCAAGCACACACGGGTTTACTTCCATTTTATTCTCTAGTATCAGGTGCAGAAGGAAAAATGCAGAAACTAATTACATTTCTGTTTCTTCCAGTTTCCTATTCCCAAGCTATTTTGTTGTTACAGGGAATTAATTGTGAAACTCTACTGTTGACTTAATTTTTGTGGTTAATTAGTACAATGAATAAGCCAAGAGAAGGAATGCTGAGTCTCCCCGGCGGTAGAAGAAACCTGACAGCAAGTGGGTTCTTTGCCTTTCCAGAGAGCCAGAGCGAGCTGGTAGTTATTTCACCATAAAGCATCTTTAAGTCTTCCATTTTGATCATTACTTTAAAACAGAAGAGTGATGAAAGTTTTAATTACCTCTTCTACCTTCTTGGGATAATAACCATTAAGTCTGAAACATGCAGAAAGAACCCATCAGTAAAAAACCACTGCCACCATAATGGCAACACGTAGCAAATACAGGAGCTGATCTTTTACCATCAAAACCAGAATAGAAAACACACCTCAAGTTCTCACATGTAACTAATTTATTACTCTAAACCTACTTAAATAGTTTAGCCTCTTCAGTTAATTCAGATGTCAGATAATTTAAGTTTTACACTTTTAAAACTGCACAAGACTGTTAGACACAGGGTAAAGATGAGAGCAAGAACACAGAATTTTAAAAAATGAGAACAGTTGGACTTAAGCAAAATTTTTCTGGAGAGAAGAATTTTCTTTTCAGTGAATGCTCTTCAGTATCCCTAGAACTTGAATTTGCCACTTTTCCATATATTATATGATGAAAAACTCTTACAGTTATTCCTTCTGAATTTCCTTATCTTTAATAAAATGGTCATTGTTCTGTTTCATAGAAGACCTGGAAGAATTATTCAGGTGTTCCCATAACCATCCCATTGCAAGGGGAAAAAAACACCCACAAACCCAAAGTAGCTAACACATAAAGTGCAGAGGAAAAGGACATCCTTTTCAGAATTTAGCAGATTTTTAAATAGCTTTATCCAAAAAGAATAAAACAAGAGCTATGTGGTCTTCCTTTGAATTGTTCCTATGGAACATAACTGCTTCAGAAAGGGGACTTTAATTTTTATTTAGGATGTTAATACTTGTTTAGAAACAAATACTGTTTTTTTAAAGTGATTTTCATGCCTTCCCCTTTCTATCTTTCCTTGTGGACAATTCCTTTTATCAGATACTATAACGTAAAGAAAATTTAAATTAAATTAAAGAAAAAAGAAAAGCATGGCAAATTTGGGGAACACAGTAATTTTCTGCTTTTATTTTTTCCCAGACGGGAGGAAAGTGAAAAACAAACAAGCTAAAAAGGAAAACATTTCTAGTCAACCAATTACTATTTAATGAAGTGCATCCTCGCAGCCCAGAGGAGGCAGGGGCTCTCATAAAACACTACAATTTTTATACATTCCAGTTACAGGATACATGTTTGTGGTAATTGTAGCCTATATTTCACTCCACCTCCTGACACTGTTACACAACATTTATTGAAAGCACATTTGATGGTAATGAAGTTTCTATTAACTATGATTAAGTTTCATAAAGCACCTGAAGATAATTTAAGATGTGCAGGAGCAGAAAATGAAACATTCGGTTTAGTACATTAGGAAACTTAATTGATTAAATTATCTCATTTACGGTAAGTGCTTTCCAGGAGCTGTGTGGGGCACACGTTCCCCCTCCGCCATTCCGGTTTGCTGGGGGACTGGAAAGGTTTTTCCAGCTTCCCGTCCTCTCCCAGATTTCCATCACTCTCATTTTTGGCACCCCTCAGCAACCTGAGTCCCTGTCCTCATACTGCCAGTCTTCGAGAGCAAGGATCACAAGTCAGAGAATCATCTAAGAGGTTATTTAGTAGAACAGGTTGTTTCTCAATTATCGTCATTATTGACTTCGATTTTGCACCAATGATGATCCATGCAGTCTTAAACTATGATCCTGTTTTGCTGAATAGCAACAACCTGTATTATATTTCCAACCCCACAGCTATAAAGAAACACTTTAATTCTCCTAGGTATCTTATATGCTAAAATCAATTCCATTAAAGTTACTTTTTTAATAAATTAGAAAATAAAACAGTTTGACTGATATACTTACGAGATTCTCTAATTAAATGGGAACTGCACAGATAAACGAACAAAACCGTATCAATTGCCTGAGCTAAGTTATGACACAGACCAATTGGACGTGACCAGTTAGGAGATGATTCCAGTGAGACAAAGACAAGACAACATTAAAAACACGTAAGCAGCCAAGACAACCACAGCACATTTTTGAGGTACCTAAATTTGATTTTGTGTATCCTTAGAAATACTTAAAAACTGAAAAAGGTAAAGGAGAAATATTCATATTTTATAATAGAAGAATAATAGAAGAATCTGTCTTCAAAGAAGATACAACAATTGCAGGTGCTACCTCTCAGTACAAGTAGATTCTTGTTTTAAGTCCTTCAAAGGAATTAAGCCAAAAATGTGTTTTTAAATCTGTCAAAATTCAAAGACAATTTTTTGTTTAAAATGAAGTAGTCAAAAATCCTCCAAATTTTGTGTACAGTTTATGAAAGAAAAAGTAACGTGCTTGCTTTAAAACAGACAGACCTCATGGAAATTGTGGTTTTGATCAAATTGTGTCCTTTTTTTTTTTAACAAAATCTTTCAGTTAGTCGATTCCCTCCAAATGTGCCGCTTTAAACTAAGATTCCATGGAAATCAATCAAAGAGTAAGAAGCAAAGAGTGCAGGAGGGAAGCCCCCCGAAGCAGTATACAGATGATCTCTATATACTCTACGGGGTAAAGCACACCCCCCCTTTACCACTTGATAAATGAGGGCCGAAGGGAGCTGAACGAGATCAGGCAGAGCAGTAGTGGAACCAAATTTGAACCAAGAAAGCCAAACTGCTATATTAATTTCTTTTTTTCTAATTACAAGTCCTCAAGAACTGAAGACAAGCACGCCTGTCGAAAGGGCTCCCAGTCAGACACACGTTTCTAAAGAGCGGTCACTTTTCTATTTTTAGTCTAGAACCTGTGATCACAGAGTTGCTACGAAGATGCTTTCAGTAGATGTGGAAGCCTTTTGTATAACCTTCACTTTTATTTAGCTCCTAAACAAATAAAACAGAATGGCAGAGAAGATGAGAAAAATCATATTTACAAGAGAAAAAAAATAACTTACTTTGGGATTTTATTTCATGAAGAGGTTTTTTATCTGAGAGAGAAAGAGAGAGAGAGAGAAAGAGAGAGAGAGAAAGTTGCACTTAATAAATTTACATGGAGCATATCTATTTCCTATATCGCTTCTGTCTAGCTCTATAAATGAAACATTTTCTGCTTGTTTGCTGACAATATGAATATTTTATGTTGTCCATATTTTCCCCTTCATCTTTTTTTTTTTTATCTAAATCTCTTTCAGGATGTTTCTTTGCAGTAATTTCTCACTTGGTTAGTTCAAGTATTTGTTAGCTTTATTGGATGCTTTTATTTAGAATATTATACATCTCGGCAATAAGGAAGTTCAATACTTTGAAGCGGACCACTCGGCAAAGGAAGTCAGTTAAGAATTCATTATTTCCTTGTTTGATATACGGAAAGGTTAGCGATGGACATTTTAAACAGTAATTTATGAAATATAAAAAGGTACCACATATTCACATTTATGTATCTACATATACACCGATAATGACATCTGTATGTGCATATAAAGAACACACAGAATCAGTGTACTACCATGCATACACAAACACGTTATAAAATGGGGTTTACAGAGTAGGGCGTCTCTCAGAAACGAGGCCCCCCCGCCCTCCGCGTTGGAGTTCTCTGCTCTACACTAACGGACGGGCGCAGGGGGCTCGGGCCAGTGCAGACACCACAGGCACCCGTGGGCTCGGGGGGCCCCCCCCCCCAGCACCCACCGACGGAGCCGCGTCCCGCGGGGGCGGCCGGGCCCCTCGGGGGGCTGCCCGGCTCTCCACCCAGCCCCAGCACCAGCTCGGCCAGCCCTCGGCTTCCCGGGCGCTCTGCCTAACTTGGGCGACCACTCCAGTACCTCTTCTTGAAAGGCAGGCTGCAGAAACCAACAGAAGGCAACGTGTAACTTTATTTCTATAAAATCCACCACAGGCCACCAGTTCAGCAGATTACGACCGATCTAACAGTCAGAATAAAATGCAGGATGTAAATCCTTAAGCAGGTAGGACTATATCCATTCTGCAGTCACTTTGCATTGTAACTGACTGAGCTGTTCCCTGATTTACCTCCTGACTTTCTTTTGGGATGAAGGCTCTGGTCCTGGCTACCGGTGGAGGGGGGTTATCAGCGCAGTCCCTGTCAGTGCAACCCTGCGACCGGCGCTGGGAGAGAGCCCCCTGCCTGGGAACCCACGAGGCTCGGCCTGGCCAGCTCGCTGCTGCCTACGTGACAACGGAAGCAAACGGACTGTGAGGCGCCTTCTATTATTTTTTACTATTTGTGAAAGCGATCAGTTTAATAATATTTAACCCCAAAAGTTCTCGGATTTTGCCTTTGCCAAAAAGCTAGGTGTGTGGTTTCCTTCCTTCTGGAGGTTGTTTTTATTTTTGCTAGGAAATGGTGTACGTTAACACCAAGTGAATCGTGTCAAACTTGAGCTCTGCAGTGGAAATGCACATTTTCATGCTGCTGACATAGTGCTATCTACAGGAAACTGCAATGGAATTGAAATGCGTTTGCCCCATAAGCTGGTGAGATTGCTAGATCCGGAAGCCTCTTGGCAATATTCAGTATCACGGCTGGTTGAAAAATGGAAAACAAAATTATTCATGATGTATGATGCATTAGTAAAAACATGTTTGTAGTTCATCTGCTTACACCTACTTGTTTGTTTCTTTTTTGGGCACTGGGAAAAGAAACGTATAGTTTCTGATGTTATTAAAAATACCTTCAAATATATAAACCAAAAGACTCTACAAACCCCTCTCTTTTATTAAGCAAAGAAAAACTTTCACGTCTCCAAGACAGAGAGAAATCCACCATGGGAAAGTACACTACCAAGAACACTGGTAGGGAATAAACAATGAAAGAACAAACACGCAGGAAACGAGTAAGTTACCAGGACTATTCCAGATCGGTTCAGTTCAGAATCAGGTCTACGCTTTCCTGGCATCTTACGTTCTCCCCGTTACTTTCATTTAAGTTCCTATTTGTTAACCAAAGAAACGTTTCATTTCTATTTTTGCCTCACAAAAGGAACAAAGTTAACAAGTTGTGCCCGATAAACAACCTCCAAGAGATTACTTTTCTGTAGCACAGTACTGCATTCCCTTCACAATCCCCCACGGGCCGAAAATCAGCGCAGAAAAGGCACGTATTGGAAGATGAACAGGGGAAAAAGATTTTTTAAAATAGGGTAATTGCATCAATTCCTATTAGCTGAGAAAGCAATTACAGTCCTAAAAATAACCTGACACAAGTATATCCAGACAGCACGACCCATAAGGGAGTAGCAGGATCACGCTCCGAGAAGAACAAGAGACACTCAGCACTTCAGCCGCCGCGAACGCAGACGGAAGCGCAACTCTCAGCGCCAACGTGCGCGCCCTGGCACCGCCTGTCGCAGGGAAAGGAGGAGACAAACTTACCGAAAACTCAAAGACCCTGTAAGGGCAGAGCTGCTCTCGGCCCCACTCACTACCCAGCAGCGACAGCTTTTGCAGCACGAGGCTACGAAACGTGCTCAACCCCACGGTACACTGGAGTAGACTTTTTTCCCCTCACGTAAGACCTGGAGATCAGTTCCCAACATGAGGTGAAAAATTGCTGGTGTGTGCAGCAGAGAGAAATCTTCCATTACATTGGTCTTTGAATTAATTGTACAGTATTGTTGTTAGTTCACAGCTCCCCAAACTCCCATCTCACCTTACAAAAGCAATAGAAATACTTTACCCAGTGAGATTTCTGCATGGAAAATCCAGCAGCAGGAGACTTCCCCCCCACCCCCCTGACCGTCAGCATAAGCTGGGAATTTAATTTTGTTAATTTCAAATAGTATTGCTTTGATGTCAACATAGGTATCCCTAGTAAGTGTAGATTTTAAATGGCTTTTCATTTCAATCACAAAATTTGTGTATTATTACTTATGCCACTTACACTTTGTAAAAGGATTTTGATAGTTCATTTTCAACATCGAACTTATACTTTACAGACTTCGAGTTTCACAGCTGACACTAAGTTGATTAAATCTGTACAAAATTTACTCATATTTATATATGCATCTTTTTACCCATAATGATCTTTAAATATTTATTTTAAACATTGTAAGTCTATTAAGAGCATTTCAAGTCCCACATATAGAAAAGTGATTTGCTTCTGAAAGAGAAAGCTTTTGCTATTCCAGACATTTGTTTTCAAACATACACTGTTTACTTCACTTCTGTTTGCACACAGTTGTGCAAAGTGGTTACGTTTTCTTCAAACTGCATCTATAAAGTGGTTCTAAGTGTCATAGCAGAGAAAAAATAAAATTCTTCTGAGAAAGCGATGATGAAATCCTATGCTAGTTCAATTGATTTCAAGTTGTTGGGGCATTTTTCTTTTTTACTGCAGTGCCATTAGTCAGGTAGGTCAGTGGTTCCTTAATAATAATATTCTTTGCACTAATGGCTGTAAAATTATAAAGCAGCGGGACAGTACCTGATCCAAAGAGCTTGATTTTATACAAAGCATATGACAGACAACAAAAAGAATAAAAATAATAAAAAGTTCAGGTATTTATTAAAATTAAGTTGGTTGCCATGTTGTAACTATTCCAATAGCACATCTGTCAAATACTTTGGTGGTAAGGGCTTTCTTTCAATACTTGCTACTGGAGTTCTTAATAGGGCACCTTAACAGAGGGGCTTAAGTAAAGCAGTGTCAGGGAAACTAAACTTTACTGTAATCTATTCTATAGATAAACAGAGAACTTCTGTCACCAGGGTTGTAAATACATCTTTTATAGGCATTAAATTTAGTAACAGGAAAAAAAAACACTCTGGCTGCACTGAATGCGTATCTCTAATCAGTGATGTGGCTGTCATGGAATCTTTTTTTTTTTTTTCTTTTTTTAAACTTTTTTTTTTCTGAGAAGGAAGGTGAATTGGCACCTGGCTCCGTACAGTCTTAAACTTTCTGATTCCAGCTCCTAGTAATATTTCTTTGCAGGGCCTTTCAGAAGGAAATCTGCTTTATTTTCCCCAGGCAAAACTACATTTGTATCTGCTGGAAAAAGCCAACCCCTGCCCCGTCTCGCACCCGCGCCGAGATCGAGGGAACTGTTTGGGCCAGCAGACACCCTACCCCCTTTCCTCTTTCTGTTAAAGGAACTCGGACACAGCTTCTCACTAAAGGTGCCACCCAGATGCGGATCCTGAACACCTCAGAGCTCAGCACGGAACCGGCGCAGGGGAAGGGCTGCTCGCTGGGAGACGGCCGTCGCTAACAAAGCACGTTCGCAGCGAAGGCACAGAGCACTCCGTCAACGCACCAACACCTACAGAGTTGAGAACTTTACAAGGAAGCCTTTTCTATTTCTTACTATGAAAAACAGTCTTGTCCTAGGGAGCACAAACGCATTAAAAAAAAAAAAAAAAAAAATTAAAAAAATTTAGAAAATGAGCATTGCACTGGTAATGTGTCTATGAACAGAACCCCAAACACCCAGTCTCTTTTCCTCTGTGTGCAGTAACACGTTGCATTTGACCAGTGTATGAAACCTTTGTTCACAAAAAAAGCTTCAGAGGGCTTTATCCTCAACCTGTTTCTGAAAATGCACTCCCGGACTCAGCAGTATCAGAGGTGGTCCTCAAGAGACGGCTGGAAGCACAGCTCCAGCCTCCCGCACTTCTGGGACACGAGGAGGACTCGCGCTGATGTTAAGTGATAATTCACCGCTGTCCAGAGCGGGACAGGGATGTTCTACAACCCACCTGTAGACAGTGTCTGGGTGAATTCCTCCGGCTAAGGAAGGAGAAAGCAGCAGCTGGAGAAGCCACCAGCAAAAGCCCGTGTGATGCAACACTTGTTGTTGATACTAGAGTGCTCAGAGGCCCCCTCTGTACCTGAAACCAACTGTGCCAGAGGGACTCGAGGAGTTTTGGTGATGATTTCCCCCATGGAATGATGGAAAATGTGTATCGTGACTGTCAGTGCTTGTAACCACAGCTCCTCCCCAGGCCGTGTGCTCCTTTCAGACTACCAAAGTAAGCGTAATCCGTATTTGTTCCTCTGCCTCTGAAGCCCAAGTGCAGCATGGAAATGACACACAGGACTGACAAGTAACAACGCAGTAGGAAAAGATGTTATTTTCAAGGCAGGACAGGCAATCTTGACCACCTCACAGTGTCGTCAAGGCTTTTCTTCGAAGCAGTGACCTGAACAGGGCCACCTTCGATTAACTCTGGCGAAAACCACAGGAGAAGCCAACTAGATGGTAAGTGAACTCATGACTGTCACAAATAATAAGCGTGCAGACCTCAGCTGCATCTTTTCATGCCCCTTTCAATGCATCCTTCTGACAAGTCTTCCAATGGATATGCTAATCTGCACACATGAATGGATTCTGGATTTATCAAGCCATCTGCAGGGAAGGGCATTCATTTAATGTATAGGAAGGAGAAAGACCTCAGAAAACATCATGTGATCACCACATTGGTCCTCAAAAGCTGAATGAATTGCATTGCTCACAAATTCTCACTAGTTATTCTTTGTTAAAAAAACAGGGAAGGAAAGAAGTCTAAATTTCATGAATGTCCTTTTAAACACCAAAGCTTGTCTACCTGACACCTTGGAGCTACAGAGCTGCTCTGTCACCCTGGAAACTTTAAGTAGAGATATATAGGAAGACTGCCGAGTATTCCCTCCCTCTAAAATGAAACAAAACCTTATTTAATGCCTCAGCTGAGGCATACATATTTCTGAAGCCTGAATAAATATACAGGATGCTATCTGCCACTAAGAAAATTTTTAAATCTCAGGGCAAAAAAAGGGAGTTCATTTTGTTTAGAAGATTATTTTCCTCATCTCTCCAGATGCACTTTGTTGAAGAACTGGTTGGGCACAGTGGCTGTTTCTTTCTCTCTGAAACTGCCACCCAGTAGGAGGCAGGTGCACGTGGGGGTACGTGATGGTTTGGAGCACAAGGCTTAGGCTTTAGAGCCACATTCCTCCTTCTGTGTGCATCGTGGTGGAAGGAAATGACTGCTGGGCATAACGTGAACACAAATATGCAAAGGATGAAGGAGGCAAGGTAACGCAGCGCCACAGAAACAAAGAAGGAGGGCTATTTAAATACAAAATGGAAGGAGAAGTAGACTTATTCCTGTTTACATCTTCTAGCCCCAGCACTGCCGATTGCTCCCGCGGCTCCCATTTCACCGCTAGAAAGCCACGAGGTGAGTGTCGCACTCAGAGGAGGAATCAACTTGTGAACGTCGTCTCTGAGCCTACGCAGCCGTCCCCGGCTGTTCTGCAACCCTCCAGCTGCAAGGCTGATTTTCTTGGCTCCTAGCTGTTTGTTGATAGTAGCAACTACCGAATGCCAGATGCTTTCCAGACATTTATGAAGGGCAAATCCTTCTGCAGAGAACTTACCATGAAGTAGATTTGCCTTTATTTAACTTCCGCGTTAAAGGCAACAAATGGAGTAACCCTTGACTTTAAACAGCTCTCACACCAAGAGTATTCATGTTGGTGCTTTGCCAGTTTACTTGCAAGAAAAGGTAGAAGGCTGAGTAGTATTTTCTGTGAAATACTCGTTGTAGCAGGTGGTCATAATTACACATTGCAAAAACCTTTATTTGGATTTTTAGAATCATCTGATAATTAATAGGTAAAGTATGTGCTACATATATCCAGTGACTCAGAAACCACTGTGGATTTCAAACTTCACATGTGCCACCCTCTGGAAACAATCTATTTTTTTCACAGTAATATTTCAGCCAGAAATGTTCTACTGACATGGGTGTGTGGCAGATATGCTACGTTACCTGGATTACAGGGCACATTCTAGGCCACATCTCCTAAATCCAATTCAGTGCCAACTCTGTACTCACCTTGAACGCAAAGCCCTTCGGTGCAGTTCTCTGACTCTTGACTCAAGCCCTCGCAGTACTTCCCTCCGTTTCTTGGCGGCGGCGCAATACATTCCCGGACCCTCAAATGCTCACATTCCGGACTGCACACAGACCACTCGCTCCACACCTCCCAGTTTCCATCCACTGAATGGGGAGGAAGGAAAAACAAGCATCATCACTGCAGATCAAACTGGTGGAGTTAAGAGGTCCTACCAAGAACACTTGTTTCGTATCTCCCGTCACGTCACAGCAAGTAAAAAAAAAAGTATAATTCTCAAGAGAAATAAATACAGTTTTATCAGATGTGAAGTTAAAATCCAGCATTAGAATGTACCACCTCAAGCGTGCAATATGAAAGCTTTTAGAATAGCACCAGTATATAACGTTCTGCAAATACAGTCAATTAAAACTGCAGGAGGAAGTTTTCCTTTGCCACCTACCTATTAGCTTCTAATGTTTCAATACAAACTCTACCTTAAAACAGGCTGATGTAGGGAGAACGCACATTTTCCTACCAGAGAAATGATGCTGACATTTACAAAAAGAGCATAGCTGGCCTTGTAGACTTCTGACTAATGCCCTGAGCAAGACAATGGATCAATATGTTGCTTTGCTGACTGATTTATAGCTGTTTCTGTCCCTCTCCCAAATAAGAAGGGCTTCCACAGTTCTCTTTCTTTTTTATGCATAAATCTGATTGAAGAACAGTCACATGAACACACACACACACACACATATCTATATCTATATCCATATATATGTATCTATCTAAGTAATATTAAGTTCTTTAAACCCCAGTTCAGGACACGCTCTATCTAAAAACCCCTAGAAGCTAGAAGCAAGATTTGCCAGAATCTAGACAAGCCCTGCTGTGACCCCAGGCAAACAGAGTCTCTTAAAACATACATGCAAGAGATCCTACTAACTTGCTTTGGCTGCATACACGAAACATCAATTCCAAAATCAGGTAAGTGAGGTTTCAGGCGAACAAATGAGGAAATGTACAGTGTCCAGGGATGGAACACCATGCTCCATGTATGGCATAAGCTCAAAATGTTAACATGCTTGAAAGCAAACTTTTGCAAGCTAAATAATACTTTCAAGTGAAGTTCTCAGCTTATCGATGCCAGAAAGAGAAACACAGAAACCTAACATCACCTCCCCTTTCCCTATACCCCCACCCACTCACCTCGTTTTTCATATTGAACCAGTTGGTGTTTTGTTATTGAGTATTTTGTTAACTTCAGTGTAAGTTAAAGCACTGACAAACCTGGCAGATCAGGCCGCAGGTGCTTGGGCTACTGCTCAGAGGCCCCGCGAGGCCCCGAGCTCTAGTCTAAACAAACATGCAGTTTTTCCAATTTCCTTTCTGACCTCAGTGCGCTCTTCCAAGAACAACTGTCTGCCTGGCATTTCAGACTGAAAGAGCTCTCCCATAAATGCGCCATCCAGAGTTATTCCTTAGTAGACTCTGCGTATCTCACCGGGGCAGAGAGAAGTGCAGGTGATTTTCTGCACTGACATTCCTTCGCAGAAGGCACCTCCGTTGAGCGGGGCAGGGTTGGTACAGGTCCGTGATCGCTTCTGCCAGCCCCGACCACAGCGGGCGTTGCAGTTTGACCACTCAGTCCACGATGACCAGCCTCCATTCACTGCAAAACACAAACGGGCTTGAGATTGTGGTAGGCGTGCTAAGAGACATCGAGCAACAAATCTGATCAGATCATTTCGTTCAAAGGCAGAATTTTGGTTTTATGTTCTACAGGTAAATCCCAAGCTGAAGTAGATGCACTGCTGCCTATCAGTACATAAACACATAAAGGCCACGGTGTCAAAGAACACAAATGTTTGTTCTGGAAGAGTAATATGCTAAGAAGTGCAATGACTGAGAGCCTGGGAGGGAGGTAAAAGCAGGCACCTCAATTCTCATAAAATATGCTTTGCTGGGATCATAAACAAGACTTACTTATTTGTAAAAGGGCGATTTCGGATTGCTCTGCCTCCACAAACAGAATGTCACATGCAGTAATAAACATGGAGAGCAAGAGAAGGTGGTAATAAAGCGATGGTTCTGCTCTTTCGTCCTTTGCTGTGTAACACCTACATTCACTAGTTGGGGCTTGGCCACCGCGGTACCACAGCTCCAGTCAAGGCAGCCCTTTATCTACCTCCCGGGCGTGTGCTCCAGGGCTCCCGGGTACCAGCAAGGCTTATTTATCTGGGTTAGCTTATAATTGGATCTTCTTAACATCCGGAGCAAGGACTGTTATTATTGACATAACTTCTGGGAATCCATCGCAAACAAAGCCCTCATAATTCTAACCACTCTAAAAGCAGGCGTGATCTCAGCCTTGAGCAACAGAACTGAAAGCCATCATAACAGGAAGGGGGGTTAGCCACTTCATTTAGAACCAGCTGTAAGCTAAAAATAGAAAGTACTCCCAGCAATGAAAGCACACGTATCTAAGTTTTTCCATCATTATCACGTTTTCACTGACCATACACCACAACTGTGGCCGACATGCTCCTCCTCTTGGCAACAATGTTGGCAGCCATGCAGGTGTAGTTCCCCGAGTCGGAGAGACGTGCCTGTCGAATGATGAGGTTGTGGTCAGCTCTGGTGTCAATGTTCTCATCCAGGTTGGAATCTATGGGCTCCTCATTCTTCAGCCATTCCACCTGGAGAGGGATGGAGCAGAGAGGAACGTGAAGTAGGAAGAGAGAGGATAAAAGCAGGAAACCTGCAGAATTATATTTCAATTTCATTAATAAATGTCACTGTGATCTTTATTATAAACATTAAGATAAAAATTAAGCTAGAATGGGATTCCCAAAAAGGTAGATATTCACAAATTCAGAAACTATTCCTATTCTGAAGATCCTAGAGCTTATTAACAAAGGCACAATGAATGAAATGCTAGGACATAATAAAATAACAAATAATAAAAGCACAAAAAGAAAATGGCAGAGATCATTTTGAGTTGCAAGGGTGTGCATTGTAAGGGAAACACTATTTTTGTTCTATTGGGAGAAAAGGAAGTAAAGATGAGGAAGAAGAGGATAGAAAAAAAAAAAGGAGGAGAACAATTAATCACACTTTTCCTTATGATATAAGGTAGTTAGGAGGCTTTAATATTTAATCCAAAGAATCAAGAAGTGATGATAAAAAAATACAGGATCATTCCAGTTGAATGTTTTTAACTCCTGGTTCTCTTCACCGTAAGTATTAAAACTTGAACCTGAAATAATTTTCTTAAGTAACTGCATCTTCCCATTTCCTCTATACTTGTTCTTGAATCTATACAGTGTATTTTGGTTTTATTGTAACTATTCATTTAGTCGTCTATTATTGCCTTATTTATCAGAGCCCTTCTGGCTTCCCTAAAAGGATGAAAAAACAGGGAGGGAAGTCTCTGTAAACCTGCAAAGCCAAATGAAGGCACCTGATGCCTTGGGCTAACGACCTCATTAATGTGATAGGGAAATGCTTCCTTTGACTCAAGGAGCAGAGGGAGAGACATGAGCAATGGAGATTAACAGTCCACGTGAGTCAGCTAATGAGTGCCACCTTTGGGGGTTTTTGTCCCCCTCCCCCTGGGAGGCAGTTCGGGCTAGTAACTTAGAAAGGCTGATTCAAAGAAAAAAGGAAGAAAGTCTCAACTGAGAGAGAATAAGAAATATTTTAAAACACTACCCTTGATACACAGTGCTTCAAGTGTTCAAGCAACTGGACAGTGATCAGTCAAGCTTTGTAATAGAGGACACATAGTAAGTATTATAAATTCCACTTTTTCTGACAGAGACGGCCAGAAGGGCAAAATCACTTGACATCAGACAGGGTGAAGAACTAAGTCGTCGTAACAGATTCCCAGTTTACATACACATTCTTAAACCAGGGACCATTATTATTTGTTGTCAAGGTACATAAATACCATGAAATGCCATGCATAATATATTTCAATACATCTTCTCTAGTTCACCAACCAACATACCTCTGAGTAGACCCAGAGTTATCTGCAAGGCATTTCTCTACTTGAAACATTAAAAAAAAAAAAAAAAAATAGTTAAGGCATGGTAAGGTGCTGTTATAGGAGTGAAAAACTAAAAATAGAAGCAGAATCAACAGATTCTATTAAAAGACTGAATAAACGTGCATTATTTTAATAGCTTTTCTAGAGCTGAAGGAGGTATGGCTGTACCCTGAAGTCAAATACCCTTCTCATCTCAGTTCAGATGAACAACCTCATTTAGGAACTCGTGGAGGACTTGGAACTTTGTGGTAATGAGCTTATGGGTTTGCTAGCTACAGGCATTCATTAGCACACTGTTCTGCGCAGATGGTCTGCAATTTGTAGATTTTCCAGTTTATAAACAAATCTGCAAAAGCTGACCATCAAAGCCAGTGAGATTTCAAGCCAGACAGCGGGTTCCCCTTCAAGTAGCATCCGTCCTGTTGGTCAGCTGGGGACAGAAGGTGTGTGACCGGCACATCCACAGCTTCTCGTGCCCCCGCAGCCCAGCCGTCACCTGCGAACCCACCTCGGGGGCACTGGCACCCTGCACAGCGACCGTGGAATTAAATAACGCAAATATTGTACACGTCTGTCAGAAGAGGCATTACCTGAGTATGAGGCACATTATACGTTGCATACCAAAAGTAGCTAAAAGATTTCAGCTCTGTATACTCTTTTCCTCAAACTGAAGTTAGCCAAAAACGGTAACAATGACAGAATGTCACCATCAAGGCTTACACGAAGCATCCAAGGCATACCTGTCTCCTCCTGCATTCTTACACAGCTCTGTCACAGCGCTGTTATGTTCTTCCTCTCAAATCTTTGCTTTTTTTTTGAATTTTTTTTTTTAAGCAATCTCCTTCACTAAAGCTCAGAGTTTTGGGACCACACGACTTTGCATGCTACAGTGCACATCCAGATAAACATTTCGAGTGAAGTTCCAAGACAGGGAGTTTCTCAGGTTCGCCCCGTGGCATCAGAGGGGCCAGCGCCGGGCACAGGTACGCTGATTTAGGTAAACTCCGAGGAGACTTTGCGCCCAAGGCTCACTCCCTGAATTTGCTTTCTTTCTAGGTTCAGACGCAATCACGCTTTGTCAGGAACTTAACACAGCCAGCAGCTTAGGCACCCTGATTTCCACTGCTAGAGGCATCCCAGGAAATAAACACCCTTCATAGTAACTCTTTGAATATACTGCATTTTCCCTTGGTCTGAGTAAGACAAGGAACAATCAAGCAATCCATTTACTATTCACTTTCCCCTTCCACAGTTAACTTTAATACTAATTATCAGAGGGGGTTTCAGCAAAGAAACTAGGAATGCAATTTAAAATATGCAACAGCAGCACTAGCATAAATCAAGTGACAGAAATTCAATGGTCGCAGTCAGAATTAAACTCACTTTATGTGCAGTGTAATGACAAACAGTAACGTTCAAAGAAATGACAAACGTGTCTAGTATCACTAGAGTTCATTATTTCACAAGTATATTTCTAAACTTTGCATTTTGACTCTCATCAAGTCAGGAGCTTTTGCAGGGCTGTGAGGGGGGCAGGGGAGGGTTCAAGGCCCTCATTACCGTTACATTAGCACTTCGGGCCATTTTTCCTGTAGCTGACTTTTCCAGGAGGGAGTGCACACTGATCCATTGTTCACCGAGTCTAGGACTGCAAGGCTTGGTGAATGAAAAACATTTACATTAAAGCAAAGCATTTAAAAGACTGATGATCACAGTGAAGGGAGAACATCAAACAGACAGAACATAAACATGAAAGCATTGAGAGATGTGCGATCAGAAGATGATTTGTAAGTGAGGGCATGCATTGCCTTTTGCTTATAATCTGGAGCCTTGGTGGCACTGTGAATACTCAGCTTTAATTCCAGCCTCCCCCTCCCTTGAAGAAAAACCAGACTTATTCAAACTCACTCACTGCCTTTGTCTCAGCAGACAAATGCTTTCACAGATGCAGAACTATGGGATGAATTTATAGGATAAACTGATAAATTTACAGACATCGCGGTGACAAAAGGTTGTTGTTACTTGCAGTGATGCAATCTTTGGAAAAATTCAGCAGACACAAAACAAGCAAGCAAAATAAAGGCAACAAGCCTACAGTGTCTCCATCCTGAAGCGAGGATTCTGAATTGCCAACCTGCACTGCCTGAAGAGCAGACTTGGAACTTATTAGCATTTAACTTCCCTCGCTTTATCATCAGTGGAGGTCACAGAGATGCTTGTAACACAATGAAATACATTCCTTTTTAAGAATTACTCTGTCTGCAACATCTTAAAGGCTTCTATTTTGAACTAGACTTAAAAGCTGCTATAATACGCCACAAGTTTATATAAAGATATCTGATTTTTTTCCCCTGAAATTAAATCTGCTCAGAATTAAAATGCCCCCATCAATTTCTAACAAAAGCTAATCACGTAATGATCTACAAAAGAAATGCAGGGGCAGATACGGATTAATTCGGCTACTACGTATTGGGTGGCAGCAGATGAATTAGCACAATCATAAATTTGTTCCAATTACAGGAAGCAATTATCAAAGCCCAGCTTACAGCATTATCCAAGTAAAATCAGTTAAATACACCATATCCTAGGTAGATTACGGCAGGAGTTAGCGAACTCTTGTTCTTTAAAACTAAAGCTTATCCCAACTCATCCCTGTTTCTGCCTGCTGTACCCAGCATTACAGCAGCCTGCCGGCCCCACGCGGCAGGGGCCCAGCTGCTGCTTGGGCAGCTGCAGGCGATGCGCTCTCACCGTGCTTTGCGTGTGTAAAATAATTAAAGTATGCATGTCAGCCTTATTTGTACGTGCATCCATACAGCTACTGTGGACACACACCTTCCAGCTGCCATGCAACAAATTCTAACACATTGCAAATATCCCTGAGAATACTGATGGAGGCAGGCCCGAGGCAGAGACTGCAGGGGAGCTCTGGCAAAGGTCGCTACAGTTCCCTTAAAACTCTGCCCAGTTTATGGGTTATAGTGGTGGCTTCTATGGGAACGGAAAGTTCTGCCCCAAAATCTCAGCTGCTTTTGAGCCTGATGGCACTACGCTGGGAGCATCTCATTCCACTCACCCAAGCACCACGCCACGCCTTTACTCAGGCATCACCTCTGTAATTCAAGGAGAAAAGCTGACTAACTCCAGATGAGGAAAGAACACTCTTCTGGCTAATCAGTGCTCCTCCTTCACCAGATTTGAGAGGGAGGCTACACAGCTGCTAAACCTCCTGTAAGACTGAAGAATATTCTTATTTTCAGTAACAGAAATTACTTTTTGTTTGGTTTTAATACCACTCTTATTATCTAAACCATGATGATTAGAGTAGGTCGGGTATCAGTTGTAGGCCTTAAATGATTTGATGCACTAAGAGTTCTTCATCAACTGCTCGATCTAATTTCAACATCCCGAAAGCTGGCTGCCCACAACTGAATTTTCTATTCTTTCTAGTGTATCTTGTTTGGGACTATAAGGAGACTTAATACCCAACAGAAATGATAAAACTCAGAGTTCTTGTGGGCACACGTGATAATTTTGTAGGTCAGGAGACAAGAGACCTTGGTACTCCTGCTTTTAGATTATACTATTCTGCCCTTTAAATAGAACATCTGACTTTCTCATGGTCAATAACCAGAGTACATATATATC